ACCTGAAGGCATAGTAGGGATCGCACTATATGGGCCTCTAGCCCTTCTTTCGGCCTCATTTATGGGTTTATTTGAGTATGTTTATGCTCTGAGGATCTTTTAAATATATATAATGAAGGTATTTTGCGGGGAAAAGAAAAATGAACTAGACAGAAAGCATTTTTTAATGCTTTTGCCAAGATATAACTTGATTATTTAAACAAGTTATGACGTGGTTCGGGTCAAAAAATTTCATGAATATAAAAAAATATTTAAATGTTGTTAATGATTTTTTTTATGGGAAAATAATTCAAACCTTGTTAGGGTTAATTTTGAGGGTCTAAAATTAATCTAATGACTTGTAAAAATATAATTTGATTAAAAATAAATAAATAAAGATAATATTTTTTTAATATTAAGATAATAACATATTAAATTGATTTATGTCAACCCGAGTTAATAAATCAAATTTACTATCCTAATTTTTAAATTGTAATAGCCATATAAAAAAATAAAATTTAATTCTCAATTAACCTAAAATTAAAAAATAAATTTGAAAAAAATAATTAAAAAAAGATTTTAATTAACTTGTCAAACACAATAATATCATCAGATAAAAAAACTCAATAAAAAACAAATTTAATGTGGAAAGACTTATGATCTAGATTATGAGTTTGTTATAATCTCTTAGAAAAAAGTTGAAATAACAACCTGATTTAATTTGGGTAAAAATACCAAAACTTGTGACCTTGATTATAAGATTAAGATATCCTCATAGATAACAAATTAAAATATATTATGAAGTTTGATTTTTAATTAATTTAATGTTAAATTATAAAATTAAAAAAGATTCATTAAAAAAATTACCTGAGTAAATTCGGGTTAACCTATTAAACATTATTTATAGGTCACAAGGTCGGAATAACATAATAGAAATCAAACAAAATAAATCATCAAGTTTTAATTCTGAGTTATCTCAAAATAAATCATCAAGTTTTAATTCTGAATTATCTTAATATTAAAAGATAAAATTAAACAAAAAATTAATTAAAATAATCCGAGTCAACTAAATTACCTTATTAAATTCATTATTTATGTTATAAAAATTAGATAACTTGATAAAAAATAAGTTTAATATATATATAAAGCATTCATGAAAAAAAACTATTACCAATTAATAGTTTTATAAAAAAAAATTTACATGCAACCCTCTTAAATATGTTTTTTTTTTTAATGTGCTCATGTCTCTCGTCCTCGTTATCTTCTATCAACATTTTGTTTGGAAATTAAAATGGATTTAATAGGTGATAAAAACCCTGGTCAACTGGTTTTTGCCTTACAAATGTCTTTTCTAGTTTAGTTTAAAACTCAACAGATGAAACTCCCTCTTACTATTTTTGCAAGGGCAAATTTAATAACTAAGCTTGTAATCATGCTCGAGTATTTTTGTATTTTAATACTTAAAAAAACATTAGATAAAATAACAATATTTATTACTCTCGAGAGTATCAAATGTCTTTTCCAAGCTTAATTTAAAACTCAAAAGATCAAACTCCATATTACTATTTTTGCAAGGACAAATTTAACAGCTAAGTTTGTAATCATTCTCGAGAATTTTTGTACTTAAAAAAAAATAGATAAAATAACACAGTATATAAATATTTTAAATAATAACATAATTTAAAGAATTGCAAACGATATTTGCAAAAAAATATTTATGACCTTTTCATATGCTAAAAATAAACCGATATAATTTATAATAAAAAAAAAGAAAAAAATGGAAGTATATTAAAACTTCAATTATTACATTATTAATATTATTAAAAATATATTGACAAAATAAAAGGTAACAATAAATACTAGAATAAATCATATAAATTGTTTTTAAAAAGATATAATAAATACTAGAATAAATCATATGAGCTATTTAAAAAGAGGTTAACCTCATTATATTTAGATAATTAGTATGACTCGTTTTAATTATCATTTATGATAATTTTAATGTAATTGAATTTATCTCATATTTTTTTAACAATGCCATGTTCCTTCTCTTTTTTTTATGCCGACGTTGAATTTTAGTGATTCTCTCTCTCTCCTCTTTCTTATCCTTTTATTATAAATTGTATTAGCCTATTGTTTTGAATTTGAGAGAATCGTAAATAAGCCTTACTCACAAGCTGCATATATTATCCGTGATTTTCTAATTTAATATTTTAAATAATTTTTTATACTTTGCTATTTTAATTTTATTTAATAATATCAGTTGTATCGCCATAAATCTTTAAGAGTTTTCTCTTTCTTTGTTTTTTTAATTTTAATTTTTTTTCTTTCTTTTTTCTTTTCTTTTTATTGTAAATTATATTAATTTATTTTTGAATTTTTAAAAAGTAGTAGATAACACTTACGACCTGCAACTAATAAATAACACTTATAACCTGATTACATGTGATGCTATAAATCTACTATTTTTCTAAATATTTCTTACACTTTGTTATATTATCCATTTTCTTACTGTTAAAAACCAAAAAAAAAAAAAAACTCTCAATACACTGAAAATGAGCAAATTAAATATGGATTTTTAAGAATATAGTTACGGTTATTTTATAAAATATTTTTTATTTAAAAATATATTAAAATAATATTTTTTAAAATTATTTTTTAACATTGCAAATAAATTAAAAATATATATTTTAATATATTATTAAAAAAATATTTTAAAAATAATCACTAATATAATATCAAATAATACCTCAAACCCGCTCATCGAAGTTCAATATATTAGAATAAAAAGTTGCAAAAAATACATCATTTTTTTTCCCGTTTAGACGCTTATTGTAAGAAATAAAAATCCTGATTTGACCGCTATATATGACTGCAAAGAACCACCAAGAAATGAAACCATCTTATCTTGAGAATATTTTATAAAAACAACATAATTTATTTTTATTATTGTCTAATAAGTATAGAATAAAAAGTAATATCTATTTTCCTTTTTTTTTCAAAAACAACTTAAAAAAACCACAACGCAAGAGATTTAAACCTAAGAAACCTTTTTTTTTAAATAAAAAAATAAATAATTGATGTCAATTGACCTAGAAATTTATTAGCTAATGAAGGCAGCAACAAATGAATGGACGTGTGAACGCGAGCCACTGATAACGCCAGCTCAGCATTCCATTTGCCTCTGTGCCTTCTAAGAACTTTTAACAGAAAATCAAAGTTGGACTTCAAACAAATTGTATAAACGTATGGCGAGCTACTCTCCTATAAAAATATTGCACATACCACTCAAGCAATCCCTGCCACCAGCTATCACAATCGATGTGCAGTAGGATAACAATAGATGATCCTACACGCTATTCTAGGGATCGTATCACATTTTTCTTACATAAAAATTAAAAAAACATATAGATATTATTAATGTAATTTTTAATAAATAAAAAATCCTATATAGGATTCATAAGACGTGATCCTGTTAACTTGCAAGTTTAAATAACATTCAAACGATTAATAAAAATATAGTTTAATTTAAAATTATCAATTTAGGTTAAGTGATTATTTTTTTAAAAAAATATTAAAATTATCAACTTAGGTTAAGTGATTAAATTTATTATCCATAGACTCTAATAATTCTATAAAAAATAAAATTAAAAAACAAAACTTGCTATCCATAGACTCTAATAATTCTATAAAAAAAAATTAAAAAACAAAACTTGTTAAACTTAATTCTCAATCAACTTAATATTAAATAATGAAACTTCTCAATCAACTTAATATTGAATAATGAAATTGAAAATAAAACTCAACTGAAAAAAAAGTTAATTCAACCTAAGTTAACATACTAAACCTAAGTTACGAGACTGAAATAACTCAATAAAAAATAAATTGAAACTAATTATAAAAATTAATTCTCAATCAACTTAATGTTGATTGATAAACTTAAAAAAATAATGAAAAAAATCATTCAAGTCAACCAATCAAATCTATAACTCAAGTTATAATATAAGATAACCTCAAAAATTACAAACTAAAACAAACTATGAAGTATAATTTCCAATTAACTCGATATTAAAATATGCAATTAAAAAAGTTTCAACTAAAAAAAATCTTAATCAACCGGCCTAACCCTTGAAATAGATAATAAAACCATGATAACCTTATAGAAAGTAAATAAAAAAAATTATAACGCTCAATTCTCAATCAATCCAATATTGAGAATTAAATTAAAAAAACAAATAGAAAAAAGAGCAAAAATAACCAAAGTTAATATGGGTTAACCTATCAAACCCGAGTCAAGAGATCAGAATAGCTCCATAGAAATAAAAAAAAAATTATAAAGTTCAATTCCTAATCAACCAAATGTTGAAAGATGAAATTGAAAAAAAATTAATAAAAAAAGACAAAAAACAAACCTAGTTAATTTGGTTAATCCACAAAACTCGCGATTCAAGTGATGACACCATAATAATCCCATATAAAATAAAATAAAATTTAAAATTCAATTCTCGATTAATTCAATATTTAAGAGTGAAGCTGAGAAAAAAATTAATTAAAAAAATAAAAAATAACCCAAATTAACATGACTACCATGTAAAACTCGTGACCCTAATTATATAATAAGATAACTTAATAGAAAATAAATAAAAATAAATTATAAGCTTTAATACCTAATAAAATCAATATTAAAAATAAAAATAAAAATAATTTCTCAAAAAACTTAGGTCTAAAACATAAAATATCTTTTTCTTCTGGCCAAAGTGTAAGACAACTTAGCATTTCACTGTTCATTAACCTACCAAAGCCTTTTAATATATTTTAATTAATCCACTAAAATAAACAAATATGGGAGAAGGAAATCTGGTCCCCTTGTCTTCGTGACTAAATCCCATAGCTAGCTAGAGCCCCACATAATAATTACTTTTGTTGCGGATGATAATGATATTAAGACTTCAATCTTTCTTCTCATTATCTTTTAAAATATCAAGTGCACACAAAAAGACATTATCCAACAAAAAAAGTGGTAATTATCTTCATCATCTAAAGTGAAATGATTAAAAATACAAAAAATAGACACAATTGCCCAATGAACCGTTGGTTAAGTGATAGTGATGATCATGGAGTAGAATTGGAGGATAGAATCCTTACTCCACCTCCAAACTAACACTTCCTAAGACGAAAAGAAGAGGTGAGCAAAACGAAAGCTGGTCGACACTAGCTAATTCACCAAGGACTAGCACTCTCTGAAATGGCTAGCAGTTCCTCTAAATATTCAGCCCCTAAATCCTCTAGCACGACGACATTTTCCAGTTCCGTTCTCATTTCTTTCTCTTTCCTCTTCCTACTCTCGGCTTTCCTGTTCATTGAATGTCTTTTTTTCATTGCTAAAATTGGTGATTGTCCTTCCTGGAAGCCATAGCCCGTTTCTTTGAGTGACTCGTAGACTTTTTGGGCAGGAAAATTTAGTACTGCCATTGAACCTCTCATTGCAAATGCAGCTTGATCATAAGCTAAGGCCGCCGCCTCGGCAGTATCAAATGTTCCTAGCCAAACTCTCACACCGTTTCTTGTCGAATCCCTTATCTCGGCGGCGTACTTGCCCCAGGGCCGCCTTCTAACCCCTCTATAAGAGATTTCTCGGGCCTGTTCCCCTTGATAATCAGCTCTTGAACTTACCTCATCGTAGTTGGAATTGGTGGATGATGTGGTATCAAAAGAGTTGATGGGGGCCTCATTGAGGAGTCCTAAGAGAAGCATTTCTTGGGAATCATTTTCGTTAAAAGGGAGGGGTTGGCTGTAGAAGCTCTGTGCGTTACATGAGGAAGAATCAAGGGAATTGAAGGAGGAAGAAGATTCGGGGGAGAATTGTGAGTATTGATGGTGAAAAAATGAAGAATCCATCAAGGGCTTAGAGTGGGAATTGTTTTGGTGTTTGAATGGCTGGTATTTCTCTGGTAGCTAGTCTTTGGTCATGGGACATAATGTTTGAAAACAAGGCAGTTTATATAGGCACAAGAGAGGGAATATCCTCAAGTTATCTTTATTTTTAAAGGAAAGTGGTATGCCCTATGGTGAAAAAGACAAATTACATGAACATGGTTACTATAGGACATTTTCAATAAATCTGGTCGTTAAAGTGGCCCATGAATGCGTTGATGCACGTGAGTCAAAGAGCCAATGGGGCATGGCGGCTAGGTCAAAGAAGAATTCATGGTGACATCATCTCGATGATTTCAGTGTTTTCGGTATCTTGAAGGCTTGCCTACTTGGCAGATTAGCCACGTCCATCTGGCAATGGCACCAGCCATTAATCGATTGTCATGCCCTTTCTAGCGATTTGCTGTTCCCATTATCTTTTTATTTATTTATTTACACAGGTATTCGAGCTAGCTGGTGCGTATTATGACTAATCTTCATGGTCTACTGAATACCCTGCAAACCCAATAAACATGTAAAGCACTATGAAAGTGACAAGCGTGTATGCTAGAATTCAAATCCATAGTAATAGAAAAAAATAAGCTCCTTCCATCGCTAGGCCAAATACTAGAATGCTTCCATTATCCTTTTTGTTCACACTCGTTGCTGCGAACAAAATAAGAACAATGATCATTAGCCTAGCCAACGAGTATATATGTGCTAGAAGAATAATCTACTTTTTTTTTTTTGTTCGAAAAAGGAAGAACTTTTTTATTTGGAGATTTTTAGACTGAGAGGACATGGGAAGGTGATTAATTTCGTTTCAAATTGCTTTCTGTTTTGGTTTTATAATTATAATATATATATATATATACACACACACACAAATTATTTCTTTAATAATTAGACTAACTTTGAAGTTATTAAGTAATAAATCAATAGCTAGGATTGTACGTAGCTTACTCCTGAAATTTCTTACACAGAACCTGATGAGGCTGAGAAAAAAACTAATTAAAATATGGTTCAGTGGGGTATTAATGTCCATGCCAATTATTAGTATATGCCCAATATTTTTGACGGGAATTCCACAACCTTGACTTAGGAAATGGGCTGCGCAATCTTTTTTCAAATACTAATATTGGCCAGTCCGTGCGTATTTCAATACTGAAACATCTACAAATGTTTCCAGAATATAAAGATATAAAAATTAATTCCAATACTATTTGGTGTAATGTTGTAGCCAACTATTAGTTGTTGATTCATCTCACATAGTCTTCCGAAGAAGCAATATTTGTACTTGAAAAATGCTCCAGTTGGCTCGTATCAATTCCAAAATAATTTAGGGTTTGGAAGTTCATATTTCTTCTATTTTAGTGAAAAGACAAACATATCATCGACCAAATTCATATGTATCTGCAACTTGAGATAAAACTCGGTTAAGACTTGATTGTTTTTTTCTTTCCAAAACAGACCAAGCACCCAGAAACATTTAAAAGATGCATCTATCTATCTATCTATCAAGTTCTTAATTTTTAATTCACACAAGTGGAAGAGCCTTTTTGTTTTTACTCATTTTGAGTATATTAATGAGATAAGTATACTAAGAAGTATGAAACATTACTCCATAACAATTTGTATGTGATGGCCGCGGCGCAAACAATGTGAGATATATATGTATATCTCCGCGGCGCAAACAATGTGAGATATATATATATGTTCTAATGATAATTTCTTGCCGTTTCTTTTACTCAATATTAGCAACTTGTAAGATGTTTTATCTTTATCTATTATATATATATATTGAATGGCCATGTCTATTTTCTAGCTCTTCTTGATAGATGCATGAACCTATAACATCAACACTTGTGGAGTGAACAGTCCACGACCACTTTAAAATCTTTCACGTTTGGTATGATTGAGAAAATTATTATTTAATCTTTGTGTTTTTTTTTAAATTAACAAATCCTTTTATTTAAAGATCTCAATGTTATATCATTATATTTTTGTATTTATTTGTAACTTAAATTAATCTTTAAGATAATGTTTTGTGGCAATTAATTTTTTTTTCCTTAAAACATCTCTCATTTACAATCAAGTCTTTCTAACTCCTCTTGATAGATACATGAACCTATTTTTTTGAGAAAAAAATGTATGATAAGGACTTTTTTAAAACTATTAAAATTTTATATTTTTAGCTATAGTTATGGGTTAATTTTAAGGCATGAGAACCTTGGTTTTTTTTTTCTTCTACGGTTTAGGATTGTAAAGTTTTAGTGCTCAAGAATCCTTAGCAGTTAGCGCTATATGTTACATTAATTGATATGAAAGCAAGTTGACTTCTTTGATGGACAAAGATGGTAGCAATAACCCATCTTGCGATGCAGGAGTGAAGGTCATCTAGAGTATTGTAAGAGCTTATGAGACAATGTCAAGCACTCAATCATAGGTGCTATGTTGTTCAGAGAAAACAATGTTAGCAATGTTGAATAGCTTGGAACATCTAGTTTGGATAGTAGGAGATCTAAATAAGGTTTGTGAAAATAAGAGGAACATGCCTAGAGATTTACTTTAAAGGGCCTAACAATATGCCTATTCTAGAAGCTTCAGTTAGACAACCACATGTCAATATGGAGGGTGTTGGAGAAAATAGACTTGATGAGACCATAGAGCTTTCATAAATTAAAACATATCACCATAACCCCAGAGACAACAAATGGACAAGTTACAAATAAGAGTATAAATCCCTATCTTCTATGAAAACGTGGACATGAAAGAGTTTCTTGATTGGATCGATAAATGTGATATGGTTAGAAAATATGAGAGTCGGAGTCACTCTAGACCCAATCACATATTGTAATGTCATTGATCCCTATCTTTCTTATTAGGACGGGGCTATGCTAATATACCTATACCAAAAGAAGTCCAACCAAAACCCTTACTGTTACCTCCATGTTAATTGCACCCGCTGCTGGTTTGGATGTGCCGAGAGGGGGTGTCCCTAGGATTTCAATTCAACCTTTGTTAAAGTTTTTTATTTAAACTAGTTGCACGTAATCTGAAGGGATGAATGTTTTTCAAATGGAAGTGGCAGACAAATACACAATTAAATGAGGGGAGACAACCTATAACATAATGAATATATATGAGGCGGATGATGCACACATAGTTCTTTTCTCTTGGTTACGAATAATACTTATCTCAGCAATATAAAAAATGTTTACAAGAAAATAGATATGCACACGTGTAAAATGTTGAGTTTCATAAGGTAGTAGAACATAACAACCTTAAGGAGACAAAAGAGAGGTAAATTACATGATTTCCAAGAGAGTTGAGACCAATAACCTGATATAAAATTGTAATGTAGATGTTTATTTTTATAGAGGCAAGGCATTAAAAATTTAGAAGTGTTAAAATAACTTGATAAACCAAAATCAATAGTTTCTAAGGTTGAGCTGAAACTAGAGAAATAACTTGAAGCCATTAAATATGCTAAAAAACTAAAAAAACATGAATTATAGATGAAGTCTGAAGAATAATCTAAAGTTAGTAAACATGTTGAGATTAAACAAATCGATGAAAAACTATAACAAGTTGTTGGAATTACTTAGTAAGCTAAAGTTAATATCAAAGAGGACTTAATTAAGTGTGGATGTGTTGTCCAAACGAGCATACACATATCATATCAATCTTTATTAATTATCAACTTAGCTAATGATCAAGATATTGTTATTAGGTTATTGGGGATGACTAGACATGTAAACTTGCTATCATCTTAAAAGATGGTTTTATGTGATGTTGATTTTATAAGTTACAAACAATGTATTATGTACATAAATTGACAATGATGCAACATTCAAAGTATATATTCCTCTGGCATGGTCAAGTTTAATTTCTAACAATTAACTTGAGAGTAAGTTTTCTACAAGTAAAGGGGATTTACGTGGGGCACTCTTTTTATTTTTCCAGGCATAATTATTTTTAATCTATTGCTTTTTTAATTGTTATAAATTTTTATATTTTAAGAAGTTTTGAATGATTTAAACATGTAGTCTTGAAAATATTGAATCTAGTTAAAATTTTGTTAGATTATTATATTCACCTGTCATGTTCAAATTGGGCTTAGGAGTTACTACTTTGGATATTTTTTTTATTTTCCTTCTCTTCTCGGTTTGGATTATTTTTTCAATTTATATTGAGATTTTCAATTTAATTAAGATTTTGCCAATTATGGTATTTTTATGGTGTTTAAACAACTTTGTAGCCTATTTGTTTGGAGAAGAGAATTACAAAATAAAGACTTTCAGAAACCAACTAAGTTTTCATATTTTTCTCTATAGTTAAAGCTACATCCTTACAATTTGAAAACCCCAATATTTTTTTTTTTTACCATTTTAGAACTGTAAAATTTCAAGAGTTCGAGAATCCTAGCTTTGAATACTTAAAAAAAAAAAGGGTTTAAATCATGATTGTCTCCTCCTGGTTTTGCTGAATTAAATACTAGTATACTATCTTTGTAGACACTCCAAGCGGTATTATGTCTTTTTAGCTTGACCAAGATATTCAGCACAAGCAAGACACTGCTATATATTAGGCGGAATTGGTCACTGGGGGCACAAATAAAACATAAAATAATCAAGGAAATCCTTGGGTTCATCCCCCTTGAGCGTCAGAAAAAAGAGAATCAAAGGCGTGCATGCACAGAATATACAAGATTTATCTCATAATTAATAATACTTTCAAAGATGGAAAGCTTTAATTATTTTATTTTTGTTTTGAAAGGTGGCTCATATTCGGCACATGGTGTATTGTATACCTTTTGGCATGAGTTTATGTATATACGTATGAAGAATTAATACATGGTATTCGGGAATAAAAAGTTTGTTCTCTTCTCCTTGTGCTTTGAGAAAGCGAAAAGCATTTTTCTAGAATAGCAAGATACAGTCATACAGTTTTATAAATACTTAAAAGTGGCTTCAACCTATTTTAATAGATACCAGCTCTGGTGTCCATGCGAGGCTGCGAGGTAGAATTATTTTTTTCAGTAAAGATAATGCTTGGATATTAAAATAAAATTAAAAAAATATAAAAAACTTATCATAATATAA